TTGTAGCTTAAAAACATCTAGCCTTTGTGACCACAAAGCTACATTCTAACATGAATGCAAATAAAAGCCGCAAAACACAGCCCAGGGCTTCAAAATGCTACATAACAGGACACCCATTATTGTCCTCCTGTTCCCCACAGAGGAAGACTGAGGAGCACAAAGTTATGAGGCCTTTATCAAATTCATGAATAGAGCAGTTATAATATATCCTCAAAAGCTCCTGCTGACGTAAGATTGGAATTCCAGAATCTTAGCATGTTAATGCCAAAATAAAAATAAAAAAGCTTCGCCCAGCCAGCATGGCTCAGTGGTTGAGCGTCAACCTATGAACCAGAAATTCCTGGTCAGGGTACATGCAGCCTCGATCCCCAGTGTGGGGCATGCAGGAGGCAGCCGATCAATGATTCTCTCTCATCATTGATGTTTCTATCTCTCTCTCGCTCTCCCTTCCTCTCCGAAATAAAAATTAAAAAAATATATTTTCTTTTTTTAAAAAAAGCTTAGAGTTCAGTCCAATCCTCTCCTTTTATAGATGAAGAAACTCAAGGCCAAGAGGCTAAGCAATTGACCCAAAATTACCCAGTATGTTTCATAATTTCTTTAAATATGTATTATTTTTAGCTCTTGGATCCTTCCCTTCTTCCCTCTAATCAGTCCCTCTCAATATCCTAGCAATTAGAGCAGGGTTTGAACTATAGAAAAGGATCCTGTGTAGCCTACCTCCCAGGAGAATGAAAGTCCCTAAGCACAAGGACTGTGCCTTTATCTCAGTGCCTACAGAATGATGCTCCATGCTCACAAATCTCCACTGATTAACTGAGCAATACACACAGTTCTCTGCTTGTCCTATAGGAACTTCCTGAGTGTTTGATGAAGGCATATGTAACAGACCCTCCTCCTAAGAACATGATCCTCCTCTCCACTGCAGCATCAGGCAGAGAACTGCCTGCCCGACGAACCTGACGAAACAGCTGCTAGGGAGCCTGAGAGAAGTCCACAGAAAGGAGCCCCCCGCTTCGCTGCTCTCTACCCGCTACCCACCCACCTGCACTCCCCTTATTGGTCCCTGGAGTCACCAACCCTTCTCTTGATTTTTGGTTCTAATAGACAAAAAGAGGCATAAAAGCAGAAATAGAATCTCAGCATGACCAGCTCTCAGGAGGTATAAACACATCTTAGCAAGGCCTGCCCAGTGCTGGGAGACCCCAAACAGCATTGGGTGCAAACTGGCAGGAAGGTGACAAGATCCCAAAGGCAGACACCCTGTGGAGTGCCAGTGGGGGGGCGGGGGGGTGCTGAACCTCAGACCCCATAGAGCCCTCAGGAGTCTCATTTCTTCAGTACACCGCAGCTCTCCTAGTTTCCTAGGCTTAAAGCCTTGGAGTCTCACCTGACTTCTCCCCTTCCCTGCCCCTCATCGAATCTGTCCCCAACCCCATCCTTTCTTCTCCTCTATCACCCAGCACCTTCCTATAGTTATGAACTGCTGCATCCACACTCCCCACGTGGCCGTACAAGAGACTCCTAGGCCTCCCTCCTGCTCAGACTGGGCTCTTTCCAATTCATCTTATACTCCACAGTCTGGGGTGATCAATTTGTCCCAAGTTGCCCAGAATCCTCCCAGTTTTTTCGCTCTGAAGGTCTCACCTCTGGGTAGCTCCTCAGTCCCAACTGAGACAGCTGGCCACCTTACTGCAGTCAGATCAAAATCTTCCCCCAAACAATGCTTTTATCGTGTCACTTTCCTGACCAAAATGTTCCCTGTTTCACATTTCTCATTAAAATAAATCCTAAAGCAGACTGCAAGTCTGCCTCGGAGAATTTATAAGAAAGCATGGTGGGATCGGGTAAAGGGACAAGGGTTCTAGGCCCGGCTTTAGTCATAACCCTGTCGGACGCTTGGCAATCACTCAATCTAGCTGGGCTTCAGTTTCCTCATCTGTATAATCAGGAGGCTAAGACTAGATTTCTTTTCCAGCTCAAAAATTTTCTATTTCTATTCTCCTGTACACCCTCTGCTCCAGCCAGACTTACCAACTCACTCTAATCCAAACACACCCTGTAAATTCTCACCTTTGTCTCTTTGGTCTTTCCCTTCTCCCCACCAGAATTTCTCTTCTTTCCTTTCTGCCACCTGAATCCTTCAGGGATCAACACAAATCCCACCTTCTAAGGGAAGTCTGGGCCCAGCCCCTGGGTATGTATGAACACTCCATACATACCCAGGTTTTCCAACACTCAACACTCCTCGTGTTCTGTCCCTGTCATTCAAAATCTTTCTTCTACATAAAGCTTCTTTACTCCAACTGGATTAAAATCTCCCTGCACTTTTGTGATTCCCTTGCAGAATCCCAAGCACTACTAACTGGTTGATGGATGGCTACATAGAAAAAAGTATAACCAGAAACAAAAATAGAAAGTACAGTAAATCTAGAATTTTTTGCATTTTACACAAAATTCCCAAATGCTTTCCTAACCAATAATTCACTTACTCCACCAAGACTTACTTTGACTCTCCTATGCTTAAGACACTGGTGCATGTCAGAGGTGCAGAGGTGGGGAATGACTAGAGGCTCAGGTCTCTGACTACATCTCTACTCACAAATAGCATAAGCTCCGACGTTGTTCCTAAACTCTAACTTTTTTAAAAATATGCATTACTGATTTCAGATAGGATGGGAAGGGGAGAGAGATAGAAACATCAATGATGAGAGAGAATTATTGACCGGCTGCCTCTGGCATGCCCCACACTGGGGCCCACAACCCGGGCATGTGCCCTGATTGGGACCTCCTGGTTCATAGGTTGACGCTCAACCACTGAGCCATGCTGGCCAGGTGCTAAACGCTAACTTTTTCATAAAACCTTAAAAGGTTCAAGTGATGATAGCAACACCATCATCACAGCCCTCCTCCCCTCAATCAGTCATGTGTCTACTGCCCCCACTAGCCTGCAGAGCTGTTAAAAATTTTTTTAATTCAAAATAGATCAACAGATTAAAATACACATACAGTACACACAAGCAAGACATTAGCCTAGGACAGTGGTCGGCAAACTCATTAGTCAACAGAGCCAAATATCAACAGTACAACGATTGAAATTTCTTTTGAGAGCCACATTTTTTAAACTTAAAATATATAGGTAGGTACATTGTTATTAACTTAATTAGGGTACTCCTAAGGCTTAGGAAGAGCCACACTCAAGGGGCCAAAGAGCTGCGTGTGGCTCGCGAGCCGCAGTTTGCCGACCACGGGCCTAGGACAAATCTCTTCTGAGAACTATAACCTGGCCATATGCCCAGAATCTCTAGTCCCTACATTGACGGATTTTTGTAACATGAACATATTGCTAATCTTCTTTGACTATTGTCCTCCATTAGTCTTGGTGAGTGACACATCTTAAGAATGAACATCTCTGTCTTTTCGGACCCCCACAGCACGAATGCACACGCATACTCCCCTAATTAAATGGGGCTGAGACTTGAACCGTGTCACCTAATCTAATGACAAACAAGTTCATGAGCAAGTGGGGGAAGTAAATAAACTAAACGGTTTGTAGAGGGAGAGGCCAAGCTGGGCTGAGCTGGGCTGGGTCCAGGGTGATTCAGGCTCTGCCACAGAATGGGTGTCTCCTACGATGGCCTCGTAGGACAATTAAAACCCCTATAAATAGGATGGGTTTTCAGGCCTCCAATATCCTCTTCAGCTTCTCAATCTTCTGCTCATTCCTCCTTACACAGGTAAGACATGCATGGGGGAGCAATGGCGATATCCATGAGGCTCTTGATGGTGGCTGTGATGTGCTGGGCTGGAGAGGTCTGAGACTACTCTCTGAGGGTGATGGCCATGGGTACCCTCCTGCTCCATTTTCTTAGCTCTGTCTGAGAATATGATCATAGCTAGGATTGCCTACTTCTGAGGCTGTAAAAAATATATGCTTTTTTTTACAGTGTGTCCTAGGTATTCCAAAATCAAGGGCTAGAACTATTGGTGGTTTGCTAGTCTCCCCTAGTGGAGCACTTGCCTTTTGTGCAAGTTAGGCAAGACCCAAGAGTTTAGAGCTCATCAGGAGCAAGGCCCTGGACCATGGGCCACATAATATTCAAGTCTCATTGTAATGAATCGACACTAGGGACTCAGTCCCATGCAATTTGTTATTTGCCACTTGTCCGTATAGGCGTCATTGCATGCTATTGGAAGCCCAATGTGCTTTGCAGTTAGGGTTTCTGTTTGGAGGCCTATAAGCCCAGTAACTGGGATTTTCACAACGTAAGAAGAAATAGCTTTGAGATCCAGATCCCCAAAGACCCTCTGCCTCTTAGCATGGCTAATGTGAACTTCTCTGATTGTATCAGACTTCCCATCATCTATGCAGTTAATTTGGCTTGCTATTTCATCTGTAGCAGTTTTGTATTCACTGATTCTATTTTGTAATCATATCCAAAGTGATCATCCAGGCCAGAAGCACTTACTGGAATTTAGTCTCCCAGAAAGTTTCCTTGGCCATGGTGAGAGACCTCTAGCCTTCTTCCCCACTTGAGCAAGGCTCATTAGAAGACTGCGGCCTGCAGTGGGGTCAATGTAGTGCCCCGTTCAGCACGCTAGTCATTGGTGGAAAATTATGCTTCATGACACTGGCTTTGGTCCTGCCTTATTGCTTCCTAACCATCTTTCCCTTTTGTTCTAATATGAGAATTTCAATTAAGCAAGTCCCATCTGGAGTAGAAGATGGGGCATGTAAAACACCTACTGTATTTTTGTTTTTTGTTTTTAGGAAATAGCCATTTTTTTCTAGCAGGGAACCCATAGTCTGCGCCCATCTCCCACTGTGCGATATTTGGAGCCAGACTATGGGTCAAAGGGGGTCAGGGGTGTGGCTAAGGAGAAGCTCTGTCCCTGACCAAGAGGGGCCACTTTCCCTCTGAAAATGCTGTCTCCTGGGCTTCGTCCTAAACACAGACAAAATCTTGTTTCTTCTTTTAGGTTTACCTGTCTTTTCCAAAATGGCTCCACTCCTGAACAGCATACTCACCGTGATCAAGGTGTTCCAGAAATATGCTAAAGAGGACGGGGACTGTGCTCTGCTGTGCAAGAAGGAATTGAAGCAGCTGCTCTTGGCTGAGTTTGGAAACATCCTCCGGGTAAGATGCATAGAGTCTGGATCCCATGGAGTCAAGTGTGTGTGACTCTGAAACCTGCATCTAGGGCTTAGTTTTTGTTTTCTTTGGTCATGCTCCACCCTGGAACTAAGAGAGTTACAGGTAGCTCCTTAATAGCTTGCTCCCAGCACACAGACATGTGTGCACAGGCATGCTCAGACACACACACACACACACACACACACACACACACACACACACATCTCCTTGTATCTGAGCTCAAACAGGAGGAAGTAGAACTTTGAACTGGAAATCATTTCTCAGAAGAAATCTACATTAATGTCCTAGTTTCTATATTTTAATGCTGTCCACACATTTTCTCATTCATTCATTCAATAAAGAATCATTAAGCACCTACTCCACACCAGCGCTATACTAGCCACTGAGGATACAAACATAGATAAAGCCAGCTTTTACTCCCTCCAGGAGCTCACATTGTGGTTGGAAAAATGTTGATAAACAAACAACTATCAGGTGATGGGGTGGGACAGCTTCCCCAAATTCATTATGAAGGGAGCTGATTTTAAATAAGTATATCTCTACTCCCCATAGTCCTGCTCCCTCCAATGAGTCAGGAAGGGATGAGGTTCTAAGAACCAGCTGATCAAAGATGAGAACCAAGGTAGCCTACGCCACTTCAAATTAATGGCTTCTCACACAAGGGAGGCTCATTCAAACTAAATGGACTGGGGCATGAACCTAGGCACGTATCTTAGTGTCCACAGGAAAACATCTGATTTTTCTCTTTGTTTTTCTTCCCACAGAGACCAAATGACCCAGAGACTGTGGAAACCATCCTGAACCTCTTGGATAAAGACAGAAATGGACATGTTGATTTTCGTGAATATCTCTTGCTGGTGTTCCAGTTGGTCCAAGCTTGCTATAATAAGGAAGAAAATAAGGCATGTGGAGATAGAACCTCCCAGCAAGAAGGGGAGCAGGAAGGAACACAAGACCATAGCTTTCCAGGAAATACAGGCAGACAACATAGGCAGAGGCATGAGGAAGAAAGGCAGGACTCCCACCACCGTCAGTCTGAGAGACAAGATAGGGACTCCCACCATGGTCAGTCTGAGAAACAGAGTCAGGACTCCCACCATGGTCAGTCTGAAACAGAGTCCCACCATGGTCAGTCTGAGAAACAGAGTCAGGACTCCCACCATGGTCAGTCTGAGAAACAGAGTCAGGACTCCCACCATGGTCAGTCTGAGAAACAGAGTCAGGACTCCCACCATGGTCAGTCTGAGAAACAGAGTCAGGACTCCCACCATGGTCAGTCTGAGAAACAGAGTCAGGACTCCCACCATGGTCAGTCTGAGAAACAGAGTCAGGACTCCCACCATGGTCAGTCTGAGAAACAGAGTCAGGACTCCCACCATGGTCAGTCTGAGAAACAGAGTCAGGACTCCCACCATGGTCAGTCTGAGAAACAGAGTCAGGACTCCCACCATGGTCAGTCTGAGAAACAGAGTCAGGACTCCCACCATGGTCAGTCTGAGAAACAGAGTCAGGACTCCCACCATGGTCAGTCTGAGAAACAGAGTCAGGACTCCCACCATGGTCAGTCTGAGAAACAGAGTCAGGACTCCCACCATGGTCAGTCTGAGAGACAGGGTCAGGACTCCCACCATGGTCAGTCTGAGAGACAAGATAGGAACTCCTGCTATAGTCGGTCTGAGAGGCAAGGTCAGGACTTCAGCTCTGATCAAAGACTGAATCATAAATCTAGCAGTGACCAGACTAAAAGAGAAGGATATTTATTTGCTTTAAATCAATATGAGACACAAGTTCAGGATTCTCATGATGACTGGTCTGAAGGGCTTAGACAACAACAAAGCCAGCCTATAAGACTTAGAGAGGATTCATGCTGTAGCCAAAGAAACCAACAGGAATCAGGCTCTTATTATGGGCATTCTGCAAGGCTGGGTCAGGAATCAGGCTATCATCAGAGAGACAGGCAAGAATTTGATTCTCAATATGGCCAGACATACAGACAAGGCCAGCATTCCCACTATGGACAGGCAGACAGACAAGGCCAGAGTTCTCACTATGGTCAGGCAGACAGACAAGGCCAGAGTTCCCACTATGGTCAGGCAGACAGACAAGGCCAGAGTTCCCACTATGGTCAGGCAGACAGACAAGGCCAGAGTTCCCACTATGGTCAGGCAGACAGACAAGGCCAGAGTTCCCACTATGGACAGGCAGACAGACAAGGCCAGAGTTCCCACTATGGTCAGGCAGACAGGCAAGGCCAGAGTTCTCACTATGGTAAGACAGACAGACAAGGCTCAATCTCTCAATATGACCAGACAGACAGACAAGGCCAGAGTTATCATTATGGTCAGGCAGACAGACAAGGCCAGAGTTCCCACTATGGTCAGGCAGACAGACAAGGCCAGAGTTCCCACTATGGTCAGGCAGACAGACAAGGCCAGAGTTCCCACTATGGTCAGGCAGACAGACAAGGCCAGAGTTCCCACTATGGTCAGGCAGACAGACAAGGCCAGAGTTCCCACTATGGTCAGGCAGACAGACAAGGCCAGAGTTCCCACTATGGTCAGGCAGACAGACAAGGCCAGAGTTCCCACTATGGTCAGGCAGACAGGCAAGGCCAGAGTTCTCACTATGGTCAGGCAGACAGACAAGGCCAGAGTTCCCACTATGGTCAGGCAGACAGGCAAGGCCAGAGTTCTCACTATGGTCAGGCAGACAGACAAGGCCAGAGTTCCCACTATGGTCAGGCAGACAGGCAAGGCCAGAGTTCTCACTATGGTCAGGCAGACAGACAAGGCCAGAGTTCCCACTATGGTCAGGCAGACAGGCAAGGCCAGAGTTCTCACTATGGTCAGGCAGACAGACAAGGCCAGAGTTCCCACTATGGTCAGGCAGACAGGCAAGGCCAGAGTTCTCACTATGGTCAGGCAGACAGACAAGGCCAGAGTTCCCACTATGGTCAGGCAGACAGGCAAGGCCAGAGTTCTCACTATGGTCAGGCAGACAGACAAGGCCAGAGTTCCCACTATGGTCAGGCAGACAGGCAAGGCCAGAGTTCTCACTATGGTCAGGCAGACAGACAAGGCCAGAGTTCCCACTATGGTCAGGCAGACAGACAAGGCCAGAGTTCCCACTATGGTCAGGCAGACAGACAAGGCCAGAGTTCCCACTATGGTCAGTCAGACAGACAAGGCCAGAGTTCCCACTATGGTCAGGCAGACAGGCAAGGCCAGAGTTCTCAATGCAGTCAGTCAGAACCTGGGGAAACAGGGCAAAATAGGTGCTTCCAAGGGAATGAGCGAACAAGCAGAGGCTCATATGTTGAGCAATCAGGAAGTTCAGGGAGACCCAGTCAACAGACTCAAGGACAAAAAGTGAACCAAAATCAGGGACAGAGATTTCAGTCTAGGCTAGAGCAGCAGAACAGTCACCAGGCATGGGAGCCTGAGGAGGATTGCCAACACCACCAACACAAACTCGTAGCACAAATTCAGCAAGAAAGGCCACACTCTCACAAAGGGAGTGATAGGCAGGGTCACAGAGAGGCCCAGACCAAGGAGAGTCATGGTGAGAGACAGAGCCACCAGGTAGAGGAAGAGAAGGGTCACCAAATCAGGGGTAGACATGGTCATGAGGGTCAGGAAACTCCATGTGAGACACGGGACAGGCAAACCCACGAAGAGGAACAAAGCCATCAGACACGGGGCAGGAAAACCCATGAAGATGTGCAGAACCGCCAGAGACAAGACAGGCAACCTCATGAAGAAGATCAAAACTGTCAGCAAACCCATGAGAAGAAAGAGAAATATCAAGGGTCCCAGGATCGACAATCCCATGGAACCCAGCGAGGCAGTGCTAACAGAGAAAAATTCCACATGAATGAGGATGACCAGAGCCAAGGCTCCCAGGGAAGACACAGTGACCTGGCCTTCCATCCAACCCAGAGCAGGGGGAGGCCCCAAAGAAGAGAAGAGGGTGGAAGTCACCCTACCAAGGCAGCGATTGCTCCCAACCCCCTCTATGACTATCTACAAGAGCAGAAAGAGCATTGGCACTAGGCCTTATTGCACAACAGAGCCACTGCCAAAGAAGAAATCTACAGGTCAAGTTCATATTTACTTCTGTTTAAGACATTGAAAATGTATGTCTTCCTTCTCTCCTCTACTTTCTATCTACTTGCAAGGATGCTTTTGAGGATTAGCATTTACTTTTAGGGCATGTCAGTTCTTTGAGCAGCAAATCCAGGGTGTTCTGGCGGGGTGAAATCTGAGTGGTAAATTGGGTGAAATAATCAGATCCCAATTTTTATTAGCTTGGGGATTTAAATCATTTCCTGGTTTGCCCTCCATGTACATAGGGCATGGTTGGGTCACTGAAAGGTCGAAACTTCTCCCAAAATTCAGAAACAGGAAAGGTATTCAGAAGATACCCATCACAAACTGAGAAGAGGCTATCTGGGCTTCAGTGAGCTTTGGCTCCTGTGGATGAAACATCAGGAATTTCAAGCCTCATAGTCTACACTTAAATGAAACACAGTGAGAGGCTGCTAGGAGAGTCAGAGACCACAGAGGACATCTCTGATTCACAACACCTCCAGCGCCCAGGCTCCTAATCTACATCAGAGGGACTGTCCTGGCTCATAGCACTAAAGCTGACTAGACTGGTTTTAGCTCAATGTCTTTCTAGTTTCTGATCATATTAAATAGAGAGGAAGCAAATGTCATCTGTTTTCAGATCCTAACGAACCAAAATTGTTGACCCAAAGATACTGGGGCCTGAAAACCCTTCAGAAGAAAATCTATGGAATTGTATTTAAATGCCCAATAAATAATTGGTGAGCAATGACCTTGATGACTCTTTTTTCTTCTTCACTGTGGGGCTACGCTATCTTCACTTGTGGGTCATTTTCCAAGAACAAGGCATAATTTCTTGACTTCTAAGATCACTTTGTTCTTTGAGTTCCTATAAAAATCAATAGGAAACAAAGAAAAAGGAGTCAAAAGCAACTTGTCTAGATATCATTTACAGCTCCTTCCCCTGCAGAGAAGTCAAATTTGACTCTTCCCCCTTATTCACTTACACATTCAAATGATCATTAAGTCATGCCAATTCTGTATCCTCCATACCTCTTGAATCTCTTCCCATTTTTCCATTTCCACTGCCTTAATCTCCCTTCTCTTCAGTGACTCAAAGTGACTTGAGAATAAAGTTAACACATCAGCTCTAAGGTCAAAAGCCAATGACCAGAAAGGGGGGAGTCCACCCTCAAGAAGGGTGTGAAAGGAGGGAGGGGAGCGTCCTAATGGGACACAGGCTGATCAGAAGTGGTCTCTGCACCTGGGGCGGGGGGGAGCAGCTCTCTGAATCTGAGCCACAGAACAACATTCCAAATTTCCTCAACTGAAAAGTCCAAACAGAAGGCCATTACTCCTAAGTGCTGTCTCTATTCCCAAACTCTGAGAAACATACTATGAGGCTAATTCACAGTGCTTCCTCCAAATATACTAAATCAGAAAGACATCATTTCCTTACAGAAAACTGATCTTTATTTCACTGCAGCCCAACTTTCTTCCCCCTTGGGAATCACTCCTCGGCTGCTTTCTCCTCTTTTCTAACCACAGGTAATCTTATCCAGTCCTGTGACTTTAACTATCATCACTATTTCTAAGATTCTCAAATCTTCATCTCCAACCCTACCTCTTTCCTAAACTCCAGCCTCATATATCTAATTATCTACTTGGCATTTCATTTGGACATGAAATAATATCTCAATCTTAGCATTCTCAAACAGAGCTCTTGTCTTAACCTGTTTCTCCCTCAATTTTCTCCATTTCAGTAAGCTAGTAGCATCATCCACATTGCTCAATCAAAAACCTAGGAGATATTCTTTATTGTAATCATTCTCTCCCCCAAAACAAACTCATTAGCAAGACCACTTGTTTCTATTAAAATACAGGATAGCTCAACTCCATCATTCTGCCTAGGAGATATTCTTTATTGTAATCATTCTCTCCCCCCAAAACAAACTCATTAGCAAGACCTCTTGTTTCTATTAAAATACAGTACAGCTCAACTCCATCATTCTTGTCACCTTTGCTCCTATCACCCCCATCACCACATCTCCCTCTTAAATGCAGCAATAGCTTCCTGATGGGACTCTCTACTCCTTTGCAATTTTACACATCATGTCACTTCCCTATGTCCTGATATGCCAAGGTTGCAGGTTCAACCCTGGGTCAGGACACATATTTCCCTGCTTAAAATGCTTGGTAGTTTTCCACCATACTAAGTATAAAATTTAACATTCTCCCCAGGGCCTTCCTAGGATGGGGCCCTGCCAGACCTCATCTTGCACCTCTTCTCTTCAGTCACTGTTTACCATCTTGAGGCCTTGAAACAGCTATTTCTTCTGCCTGGAATATTCTTCTCCCTGATCTTTTTGTGGCTAGCTCCTTATTTCATTGAGGTCTCAGCTAAAAAGTCACCTCCTCAGAGAAGCTTCTCTAACATTTAATCTAAGATTATGCCCCAATCACTCTCTCACACATACTCCTCTTCTTGTTTATTGTTCTTAGCATTTTTCATATTTGATATCTTGCTTTTGTTACTTGTTCATTGTCTTCTGCCCCCTACTGGAGCTTAAGGTCCACAACAGCAAGGATTTTGTTTCTCTTGTTTGCCACTATACCCTCTGCATCAAAACTAGTGGCTGCTCTTGGTCTGATGTATTCTGTATCAAGTATCATGAATGTGATAAAATACCCCAAGGCTTAATATGAATGTCTCATAGCATGGCTTGCTGTACAGTTTGGAGTTGGTCCTTAGTGTAGAAATTTATGGCATCTGACTCTTGAAAGGCCAGTTCCAAACTTACCTCCTTTAATCCTCCCTCAGTGCTCTGTTGAGCTCCATATGCTCAGATTTCCCAGTGTGCATTCTGCCTTCTGATAGCAGTATAAACAAGTATTCTCCTGTTGCTTCAATTATGTCGTGCATCCTTTCCATAGAAGCGGTAAGATCATTAAGAATCTGATGAGTCTCCTATTCCTTTGAGAACCCAGCACAAGTGGATATACAGCCATTATTGTTGGCTACTTTACTGAGACTTACTCAAGCAGTTGGAGCCTAATTTGAATGGAATATTTATTGACTGAATATTTACTGTCAAAATACAATCTCTTATTGCATTTTGCATACAAGCAACTTGTATTTTCGAGAGGAAAGGATGCTAAGAACACAACCAAACATATAGTAACAGTTTAAGAGAGGGAGGGGGGTCAGGAAAGGAGTTCTTGTCCTGGCTCTGCTGCTAATGCCACATATGACTTTAGGTAATTTTTGACCCCTTACTGTGCTCCAGTTTTCTCATCCTTAAAATGAGGAGTTAGCACAATGCAATCTATAATGTCTCCTTCAAGTCATAACGCTATGGTTGTATAAAAGTCTAGAATAGTCAACCAGGCCGATTTAGCACAGTAAATATTCCAGAGGCTGAAAAACACCTTGGAAGCCAACTGGAGAAAAAGATCATATGGAGCTCTAGCGCCATCTACTGATCACTGGATTCCCTGTGTCTTCAGATCCAGAAAATTACAAAGGCCGTTGAGAATGAATGCCTACTATGTGTTTCAAGATCTAGACACCAAGGATATAGCAGTTTTAAAAACATAGACAAAAAACATGGTCTTTGTAGAGTTTACATCCTAATGGAAAGACAAGAGGGAATAAGTAAAATACATATCAGATCATAACAGGTGCTACAGGAAAAAAAAATCAGTAAGGGAGATAAATGCTGAGGGTCACGAAAATGAAATAACGCTGTCAGGGTGGGTCTCCTGAGAAAGTAACATTGGAACAAAGACCCAAAGAAGATAAGGGAAAGAAACCAATGAACATCCAAAGAAGAGCATTTCAGAAGGAATAGCACCTGCAAAGGCTCTAAAGCCGTGTACTCAGGAAATAGTAGAGATGAGTGGATACAAATGAGCAAGGGGGTGAGTCACAGGAGACGAGGTCAGAGAGGTCTCTCTGCAGATTCACAGCCATGCAGGGCTTGGTAGGCTTGAGGATTTTGGATTTTCCTCAGAGCAATCTGCAGAGTCATCAGATGGTTTTGCCTCAAGCCTTTTCCATTTACTGCACATACCTAGGATTTTTCCCCTATGTGTCTGCAGCCTACAGATCTAGACTAGGTGATACTGATTCAAATGACATAGAAGTGCAGGCTGTCATCTGACACTTGGTCCTGCTCAAAGATCCAGAAGTCCTGTCCCCTGGGAGCAACATCCTTAAGGTTGCTGCACTTGGTTAACCCCGTGAGCCCCCAAAGCTAAAAGGGGGTTCGAAAAGAAACAAAACACAGTTTCTGTCTTCAAGTTTATAATCCAGTTAAAAATCAAACACACACACACACACACACACACACACTTTGGGATGCTTGCAAAGCAACCTATGGACAAATGTAAAACTTAATAATACCACCCTATGCCATATCACATGTATAGTTTTTTTATAGTCTCACACGCAAATCTTATATCAACCCTTCAAAGTAGTTATAGCCATGTTTACCTTACAGGTAAAGAAACTGATGAGCTTTAATAACTTCTCCAACAGGGTCCAGCTAATTAACTTGTACAGAGTCAGAATTTGAACCCAGATCTTCAGAGTCTAAGTCCTGGACTCTTGGCATTGCTCCACAGCAGGGCCATCTTTAGCAAGCAACTACATACATAAGGGACTACCTAAATAGGAGTAATCAGAATCTCGTCAAAGTAACCAGATATTCTTAGGAGGACAAGCTTTGAGCCAAGTCTTAAATATGGAATGTATGTGGATTGGCATCCTGGAAAAGGGCAGGGTTCCTGGGTATGGGAGTAGTTTGAGTAGAGACACAGATGGGTATCTTATGAAGTTAAATGATGAAAATAGCAAACAGATTAGGTGAGGGACATTTTAGGAAGTGACTGAAGATTATGTAGAGAGGGGTCTCACTCTTTTCTTCTTGACCTCCCCACCCAGAACACCCATAATCCCTTTTCTCTCCAGGTTCTCTTATCATCAGGGAACTTCTTAGGCTCCCTCATGAGTTTCTCGTCCCTTTTTGACACCTTTAATGAGACTTTCCCTATTCTCATTTCTGCCTGCCAAATGCTTGTCTACTTTGGATGCCACTCTATCAATTTGGAGAGTTCTAAAGAACATGGATGCCTGCATCCCATTCCCAACATTCTAATTTTATAGGTCTGTGGTGTGACCCAAGCTATGTGGCTTCTTAAATGCAGAATTTAAGAAGTTCCCCCAGGTGGTTCTAAGGCACAGCCAAGGACGAGAACCACTGTACTACACCTTCTTCCTGCTCAATCTCATCTCCTCTTGAGGTTGCAATCACTTTATTCCTAATGATGGCTTCCAAGTTTCTATCTCCAGCCAGATTTCTCTCCTGAGTTTCAGGCCTATATGTACTACTGACTCTTGGACCTCTTTATCTAGGTGTCTCACAGGCATCTCACACTGAAAGTTTTCAAAATGGAACTCCTCCTTTTATGTCCCGCTCCCTGTAAATAGCTTCACTCTCTGTCCAGCTGCTCAAGCCAAAAACCCAGACCTCCTCCTGACTCCTTCCTCTTCCTCACCTTTGATATCCAATACGTCAGCAAACCTTATGGATTTCTGCTTCTTTAAATCTTTCTGATTCAAGTGGTTTTCTCCAGTCCAACTGTAAATACCTTAATTCAGGCCTTCGTTTCTCACCTCTTTTACTGCAATGACTACCTAAGTGATTGCTATCTCCTATATGACCTTCCTCCAATCTATTCTCAATGCTTCTGCCATAATGTCCTCTCTAA